AAACAGCACGCAGAATGTTCTCAGCTGCTTTTTCAGAGGGGAGGGATACACAGAATTTGGCCTGTCGGAGAACAAAGAAAATACCAACTTCAGGTGGTCAGCACCCAGCTCCGGTGTGACAGCTTCTTGGCAATTATTACATGTATGAGGAGGCCTGAAGGGAGCCAGCAGAGCGGGGCGGGAAAGAGCGAGGGAGGCACCTGGAGGGACCTGAGGAATCCTCCGGGCCCAGCCGCTGGTGTTTACGGTGCAGCGCCAGCGCCACCATGTGGTCATCCCTGGAACTCCAGGGGGGAAACCAGCTCTTCCCCCTGCGTTGCAAACCCAAGTCCTATAAAGGGCCTGAAAAACCTCAAGACGGGTATCTCCCTGTAACGCTTTTCCACCTAAAAGCAGAAGGGATTTCTGACATCTCAGTTAGTGACGCATCTGGAAGCGCGTTTGCTCTCCGGGGACCTAGTATTTGTTCCTTTATCCACCACATAGAGCTCTGGGCCAGGCCCTGTGCGAAGCAGGAGAGAAGCAAGCCTCGTGCTCTAGTGGGAAAGAAAAGCCTGCAAACGAAATGTTAGAGCCGTGCTGCAGATGCGCTAGCGCAGGAAGGATGGGGACACCGCGGAGCAGCCACGTGGGAGCATTGGACGTTTGTCAAGCTGCCAGTCATGCTCCCTTTGTCACTTGGGGCTATGATCGCTCTGTTGCCTTGAAAGCCCGTGTGGGTCCGGTTACTTGTGTCACTGGCCGACACGCTTTCTAAAATCTGCTATAATTATGAATTATAATTGATTCAACAATTATTTATTGAGAGCCTACTATGTGTCAGGCACTATTGTAAGTGCTGGGGGAGACAGATGCAGGGGGCAAAGACCATGTTTCTTCGTTTATTAAGCTTATGTGTGGGAAGTGAACCATCAAGAAATGTTGTGTGTGATATGTACACACACACATATGTGATTCAAGCTATTTTCCTCCTTTTTTTTTTTGCCTGTTTATCTTTTAATTTTGGATTTCCCACCCATGTTGTCCATTCCCCACTTATTAGAGTATAAACAATTATTTCAAACTATTTCAAGATAGTTTGAGAATTTTACATCAACCTGACTTCCTCAGGGGTTTTGGGAAATTAACTTCCTATTGCTCAGAAGGGTACTTGGGTTTTATTTACTAGTTAAGCCATAAAGTGGGAATTTGGGATGCGACGTCTAACCTTGGCTCTATTAATGTTTCGTTTGTCAGACTTGCCTCCCAATCTCAATTTCTCCTGGCTGTTTTAGGGTCACGCATATGATAAACGTGAACAATCTGAGAATTTTATAATCCACTGAGCAGATTCTAGGAAGTTGGCAGCATGCTGTGTCCACGCCACCTCTGGCCTCAGCAGCCACAGCCATCGGGAGAGGACTGGAGCCTCAGCCCATGGACAGGGGGCTCTCTTTCTCTCTGCTCCAAGTTGGGGAGTCAGAGCAGGAAAGAGGGACTCTTCTCATGACCTGAAATTGAGATAAAATCTGAATAATCAGACTGAACTCACAACCAAGCTAGAAAAAGATGTGGTCTGAGTGAAAAGAGCATGTGTATTTGTTAAAGTTATTGGGAAAAGAAGCCTATGTGATGGAATACTATCAAGAACCTGAGGCTCTTTAGGAAACTGACTGCACCTCGTGTTCGGTTTATTTCACTAGGTCTTGTTCTTATGTGCTCAGCCTTTATCATTGGTGTTTATAACGAGGTCAACTTCGCAACTACAAATACTTGGAAAGCACTCGTGCAGCCCAGCTTGTGCTAAATCGCTGCGGACTTCATGTCAAGGAAGAGGGGCCAAGGAGGCCCCGACTCTCCCCTTCAGACTCCACTACTCCCCCACGGAGTTAGCCAGCCGGGCCCTGTGCTCATAAGCAGAGCAGCTTCCTGTGCAGCTTCTTGGAAGATTCTGAAAAGAATCATCCATTCAGATTTGCAGGGAGATTTTCATAAAACTGAAGGTAGAGAGTAGGTGTTAGTTCATATAAAATCTAATTATAAATTTCATGCTGTGGCAGCGTTCTTTTGGCTCCAGGCCTTTCAAACATTAAACGCCAAACAGTCTCTATGCTCTTTATGAATTTAAAGGTAAAAAGGTCTTTCGATTTATGCTACCACTTAAGAGGGAACGAAAAAACCCTATCTTTGAAAAAAAGCCACAAGCTGAAAACTTGTGATTCACAATGGAAAATATCATCTGCCTAAATATTTCTATGTTTATATGAGCTGGTTGTAGCTGCTAAAAAAATGTATATCCTACACACATTTGATAACAAAATTAAGATATTAAAAATTCTTCCATGTAGCTCCAGTTTAAACACTTGAAGACATAAATCTAATCTGTAAGTTCTCGTACATAAGCTAGAAGAGTTATGTTTCATCAGAATTTAAACAGATGTTATTAGTCACTATTAGGACAAGTTCAATTAAAGACCTGAATGTTCATTTAAAATACAGATTAAAAATATTTTTCAGACACTAAAATGTCCCCCGAAAGCATGCCATGCAATTTTATTTTGAGGTTTTTTCATTTAAGACACATGAACCAACCTTTTTCCCTTTTAAAAGAGAACTGTGCTGCTCTCCTCTGAGCATTTGCCTCTGCAGGGCATTAACTGCTTCCAGAAAACCATCAGTCGAACCCATGAAGCATCCTCGCTGCTCAGCAGCATGGGATGTGCGGAGGAGATAACCCTTCCCTTTGTGAGGGCCACTGTGAGAGACAGGCTGCATGAACTGGGCATGCATTTTTAAAGTAGCAGCTCACAACCAGCTTTGCGGTTTTATTGCAACACTAACTGTTCCTAAAGGTGACTTCAAAATCTAGGCCTAGTCTATATGTTACAATAATGGTGTAGTTAATCAACTGTTACAAAGAAAATAACACTTTTGTTCACAAGGCAACGGTATAGTGTATCGTGCCTTTAATGTGCTATTTTTTCTGAGCTTGGATTTTGAAATCAAAATCTATACTCCATGGCAATATGCACTTTTTATTCATTCTTTTATAATTAAATACGGAGAGTGGGGTTATCTGCAGATTATTACTTCAGTTCATTGCTTTAAAATTCCCTCATCTCTGTCATTTAATAACAATAATTACAACAATAAAAGCAACATAACTGTAGTCCCAGAAGATACTGTATGCCAGATACTGTTTCAGACACCTCACATATACTAATTTATTTAACCCTTGCAACAGTGTTATGAGGTTGGTGTTATCCCCATTTTATAGAAGACGAAGACAAGTGACAGAAGTGACTTCCAGAGTCAGAGTGTGGAGGCAGGACGGAGCTTTCTCAGGCACCCTTGACCTCTGCGCTAAGCTCGTCCTCTCTACCACGCTTACCTGGAGGCCCGAAACCTCCCCTCCACTTCAGATCGGGCCGCACAGCACGTCTCCTGAAGAACCCACGAGATGGTCGAACTCGGCACGACCCGGGTTGAATGGAGAGTCTGCTCCCAGGCACCTGCTGCCTCCGCCCTTAACTTCAAATCCATCACTTGCCTAACCCACCTTCCCAGCTCTGATAGAGGCGCCCTCACACCTCACTCCTCTTTCCCTGCCAGCGTTTGCTTCAGTTTTGTCCCAGCCCTCCCCTTATTCCACCTGAGCCTTAGCCTGGCCTCTCTTTCCTCTTGCCCAGGCCCAGGCCCAGGCCCATTCTCTCTTAGGCACCGCAGCCTTTCTCCTGGACTTTGGAAATTGACCTTGAATGGCTTCCCTACCTCCGACCCCCAGCCCCCCTGCACACCACCACCCAGCGGAACTTCTTCAAACGTACTTCAGATCGTTCCCACTAAGAAGACCCTGGTAGCTTGCTTGTAAAGTGAATAGGAAACTCCTAAGGTTTCCGGTCCTGGCCATTCATATCCTCACCTCGGCCTGCTTTCGACCCTCACTGCCATTTCATCTTTCCATCCTTGCCTCTCCTTTGTCTGCTTGTGAAATGTTACTTAATTTTCATTTGTTATTTCTGATCCACCACCTCAATACCAACCCACCGCTTCCAGATCACTAATTAGCGTCTCTCTCATGTTCCAGATGATACCCACCTATTTGGCAAGGTCTGCTCTCCTAACTTTTTATATCTCCCCTTTTATCTTCACCCCCTTTGCTGTTTCTTGGTCCAGAAAATTCTTGCTTAAGCTAGAATAAAATTTCCTGACTAGTCTTCCTAGTTCTGTATTCTCCTTCATTAAACCCACTCAGTGTTATCGCTGTGAGGGTAACAGTTTCAAAAGGCGCACTTCTACCTTGTGAACTTCCTGTTCAACAATTAAAATGGTTTTCCGTTGACTATAGATCAAACTCCAAACCGGCTGCCATATGGCACAGCTACGGGGAGCCCCATTCAAGTTTCAGTCTACGGGAGTCTTCCAGCTCCTCCGTTTGGCATTAAGCACTGTTTTGAGAACCCGCAGTAGAAATGTTATTGTATCCCAGCCTGCTCTTCCACTCCCCCGGCCCCCCCACACATCCAGCCCCCCCCAAAAAATGGCCCTCCTGTCCAGGCCCATTGGGGAAGCATTGCATTTACATAAACGGGCTCTCCTCACTGTGGGACGTTCAAGGGTCTTAAATATGCTCGTGTGTGTGATGAATCCCCCAAGACAATCTCTATGGAAAAGGGCTTTGTATTTTTATTTCCCTCTCAGTCACTCTTCAGTATTTCCCAGGACATCACGGTTCTGCAACCTAGAGATGAAGAAATCCTGCCGCATTCATTCTCTGCTCCAGTCCTTGTGGCAGGTCTAATGCCACCTCCTCAGAAAGGCCTCCCTGACCACCTCGGTTAAAGCGGCCACCCTGGGCTGTGCCGGTGTTCCTTTCTTCATAGTACGTATCACAATTCGATGGATGCTTATTGTTTATTTGTTCCTTGTTTGTTGTTTCTTCCTCTAAGATGTAAGATCCAAGGGAGCTGGCACGCGATCTTGTTTGTCACTCCCCCGCCACCCAGGACAGCACCTGTTTTGAAGGAATCTGTGTCCCCCCCAGGAGCCTAGCTTGTACCCATCTCGGGGCCTCGCAGCCCACCTAACTGAATTTAGGCTCCTGTTACAAAGCTGAAAGAAGTTTCCTCGTGGCTGGCTCATCCCGAAGTAATAGATCTTACTCTACGGAACTTCTGTAATGTTAGTATCTGAACAACAATTTATTTTGAAGAGTTCCTGATTGTTTCTTTAGATGGGAATACTCTCTTACTCCCCTAGGTATCGCGCGTTTACCTGTAGCCAGGATTGGTGCTGTACTTTGGATCTCTCTGAGGATCTAGCAAACAGGGCTTCTCAGGTAAGCAATAAATAGCTATTTACTTGACGAAAGGGATCTTCCCATTCTGCCACCTGAGTGAGTGCCATGCTCGTGTGGGGAGTGGCGGGGGCTCCAGCCTGGCGGGAAACAGTGCCTGCTGGAAGGAGGGAGACCGTAGGTGTCTACAGGAGAGAACAGAGGCTGGCCTTTGGCTCACCAGGGTATCCTGCTTTTGATGTTTACAGGTGTTCGGTAAGTCTTCCCTGCCAGCAGCTACATGGAACAGAAGCAGGGGGACGAAGTCTTCATTGTGTCCCCCAGGAAAGGAACTGAAGGAGTGTGATCTGCCGTGGAGGAGGGGCTGTGGATCTTTAAGGGGAGCAAAGGAAAAGATGCCTCTTTTCGGTCTGCAGGTAGGTAATTTGTTTGCAGTTACGTAGCAATTTTGTTTAATGTATGGGATGTGCTGTTCAGGGAACATGTTTCCTTAGCAAATGATTAATTTACAATATTTCAAGATGTTTCTAAACACATTGTTTCATATACAATATAACAGGGGGAACATGGAAGATGGAACTGCTCCAGTACCTCTGATGGCCAAGAGATCTTCCAAATTAAATATAAAACAGCAGAGCCTGTTTGCGTGGCGATGCTAAACGTGCTCACCTTTACAATGCTGTCTCACCTTCAGAAGAAGCGGCTGCAATTGGAAGGAGTGGGGCTGGGAACGTAGAATGAGGAAGGGGGAAGGGGAGTTTGGGATCAAATAATAAGTGTGATTGAAAACTCTCATGTCGCGTGTACGGGGTCCTACATTCAACACAAACAGCACAACTGCTCTGACATCAGGGGCCTGGGACTGAGACGATACTTCCTGTAACGAATCAATAGCCATGTGCATTTTTATGTAAGTTACTTACATGCTAATCCATCTTTAAAATCATCGCAGCAATTTTATTTTTTCCTTTTATTTAGAAATGAGATGTTCTTTGTTGAGACAGGTTAACGTACTGGCCCTTCGTCCAAATGATGTGGATTAGGAACATCTGGAGCATCTACCCTTGTTTTTTATTAATGGAAAGCTTGGAAGGCTCAGTGATTTATAACTTCTGTGCCTTTTTACACACTGTCCAATTCTTTTGGTTGAATTTTATTTCGTTTGGAACATTATGTGGTGACGTAATATGCCGCGTATGAGACCTTCCTAATGAAAAAAGCCAGTATATCTGCTGCGTGTCAGATCACAGCGCTGGCAGGAGCGCGATCTGGAGCCGACTCCGCCTCAGTGCCTGGGTCTTCAGGAATGCTGTAGTTGGGGGGCTCGTTTCAGCCTGGCTCAGACCTTTCTTGCTCAGCCTTTCCTGGGACCCTAAGACTGAAACTGCCCACAGGTGGATTCTGCAGAGCTCTAGAGCTTCGAGATACTCTATGAAAAAAGTGTCGGGTCATCAAATCACTTGGGGAATTGGAGAATTCGAAACCTTTTGGAAACTCACAAAGATTATTAGTATGTGAAGACTTTGAAAATTTTCTAGAGCTCTATAAAATTGGGTCTGCCCTGCTCCCTTTGCTCCCCGGGCCTCATCTCCCAGGTCTCTCTTTCGCGCTCTAGTCTCTGACCACACTGGCCTATGATTCCTCAGACAGGCCACACCCGGCTGTCTTCGGGCACATTTTTTGCCCAGCCTGAAATGCTCCCCCTTCCCTCCTGGATACCTGCTTGGGTCCCTCTCTTACCATCTCTGTCTTTTGTGAAAGATCATCTTCTTAGTAAAGCCTTCCTCGATTACTTTGTTTAATTTTGCATACTATTCCCTGCTGGCACTCCCTGCTGACCCTGTCAGCTTTATGTTTCTCTGTCACACTAATTGCGTGACCACAATAGTGCTGCTTTAACAGACAACCTCGAATTCTCATGGTATGCAATCACAGTGGATAGCATTTATCTGGTCTGTCCTGGGTTCACTCCTGTGTCTGTGACCCACTGTGGGTCATCTGGGCAGCATTAGTGATGTGGGCTGGGCTTGTTCACACATCTCCTGGATGTTGGCTAATGTAGGAGGCCCCAGGAAATGACTGGCCCATCTTGGCTCTGCAGCCTGCGTCTCTCATCTTTCAGCAACTGAGCAGAGGCATAGTCTCTTGATGGTCCTAGAGAAGCAAGAGCTAGCAAGCCTTTCAATGTGTGTAAATCAATTTGCTAATGTCCTGTTGGCCAAAGCAAGTCCCATGGCCAAGCACAAAATCAGAGTGAGTGTGCACTACAGTGTTACACAGCTAAGGATGTGGAGAGAGGAAAAGCGAGCAGTTGGAGTCATTTTTGCAAACTACCATACATATTGGAAGTTTCACTTAATTTTTTTTCATATTTTTATTGATTTTTAGAAATACAGGAAGGGGGAGGGAGAGAGAGAAACATTGAGGTGAGAGCAAAACATCGATCGGCTGCCTCCTGCACGCTCCTTACTGGGCATGGAGCCTGCAACCTGGGCATGTGCCCTGACCGGGAATGGAACCAGCAACCTTTTGGTGCTCAGGACAACACCCAGCCAACTGAGCCACATTGTCCAGGGTGAACTTTCACTGAATTTTTTTTGTTTCCCTGTGCTAGAATATATGCTCCATGAAAGCAGAGATGTTTTTAACCTATTTTGTTAACTATCTTATTCTACTTACCTAGATCTGTGCCCAGCATGTTGTATGTACTCAATAAGTATTTGTTGAATGAATGAATGATTACCTAAAAGTAAACCCATCTAACTTTTTTTAATGTAACATTTTCAAATGTGTTTTTCAATACATCCTATTTTTAGTAGAAAGACATATAGAATCTCACTTGGAAAAAAACACACAAACTCTTCAAATATCTTATGCCTTTCTTACTGAGAATGTAAACTCCAGTAATTAATGCTAAATTATGAGTTTTACTAATAGAAAAAATCTAAAGTATTTATTTTGCCTCCTTTCATTCAGCTAAGGTTTAGTAAGAGACATTTATGTACCAGGTTATGTACTAGATGCTAGTGGTGATGGAGAGAAAGAATACAGCCCCAGCCTCTGGGAACTCTTGAGTTGAAGAACAAATATATAAAACAATATTGAGCAATATGACATGCTCCATTATAACATTGTTGAAATAGTTCCCAAGTACATAGAGGAAGAAATGTTCAAGTAGAGCATTCTAACTTTCACCTCTGTAACTATTTAGACTGATAAAGTTGATCTTCTCATTCACTCTTATTTCCAGCATTCCTGTTCACACCATTTAGTCTCTTCATCCGTTCACATATCTTCTGCTCTTTCTGAATCCTACCTGTCCTTTAAATCTGACCAACAATGGAACATTTTCTGACCCAATTTGCATATAGTTTTCTCTAAATTTATCTGAATGTCATAGTATTTATTGTCTCTATCATATTAATGTGTAATTCCTGGAAACATCTATTCTACTGGTGTTTTTATTAATAGGTTATTTAACTCCCCTGTCTTTCCGAAGGGTTCATAACCATCTTGAGTGCAGATATTTTGTTTCTTTTTTGGAATTAATAAATAGAATGCTCACCATAATAGGTACTCACATCATAAATTAGAAGGCTATACTGAAAACTGAAAGTTTTTACCACTGCTCATCACCAGGTTATGGTGAGGTCCAGTGACCCACATGTGGGCTAGTGGCCAATGGCATAGAAGTATTTCTGCTTAGTACTGGAGTTTATGTACCTTCCTTACCTATGTTGAAAACTAGTGACTGTGTAAAGCTGTAATCACCAACCAATATTTTTAACAGGCTAAAACTAAACTGGCAATGTTAATAGAGTCTGGAAATGAGCAAGAGGAAATTTTAAAATGCCAAACTGTAAATGCACAGGAAATAAAGAGATTTCTCTATTGGCAAAGAAAATAAAAAAAAAAAGAAATAAAGAAAGGGAAAGATGAGTTACCTGACGTTCTGTGGCTCCAAGGCATAGCAGTGGAGCATTTATCTTCCAATTCGTTTTGAAATTTCCACACCTGCATTACCTATTCATCAGCCCCATAAAATTTCCCTTTAGGGGTAAATGCTGCTTAACATGGTGCTTGATGTGTGGGAAACCCCCAAATAAACCACAAAACTAACAAGTCATTTCATTTAGAAGAATTTGAATCTTACATTTGATTTGGATGCCTTTGAAAAAGGCAGAAAGCAATTCATCAAATATTCAGGGTATTTACTGAAGAAGAAAAAAAAACTATGCTAAAAGTCATAGCAGTGATAAGAGAAGGGAAATTGTTTACTCATAGTCATAGTAATTAATACATAATCATCTATTCAGATCCTATTAAGGACTGCATCTCACTCAATACATCTCTGGCAGGCATTAAGTTATAGAACATTCCAAACTCCTTTTTATCTTTCTATCTAATTCCGCATTCTCTAAGGAACTTCTTACGCTCATTCATGGAAATCACATACTAGGGAGGGAGTGCTGTGTACAGCTGACAGATTAAATGATTGCTTATGAACTTATTTTCCAGTTCAAGTGAATATATTTGGTTGGGAGTCTCACTGGCATTTGCATATTATGAATCGTTCATCTTTCATTCTTTTTAGAATGAGCTGACTATGGATGTCTCCCACCTGCATGGCTGAGGAAACCGCTGCTGGACTCAGAGTGATCCCACAAAGGTCAGAGTTCAGACCTAAATTTATTTCTTTACCTCGAGAGCTGGTGTTAGCTATAAATGTAAGCCAACACGCACATATGCTAGAACACATATAATTTAAAAAGATATTAATCTGGCCATATTCTATTGAACTTCTTTCATGCTCACATTTTCCTTTCCTTTACCCTGTATGTAGATATTATAAGGAAAAAGATTGAATTACTCGATTGCATTCAGATCAGCCCAGTCCTGGCTAATGCAGTAGAACAAGAAAAGGAAACAAAAGGCGTATAGATTGCGAAGAAATATATACAATTATTGTTCACAGGTGAAATGATCATCTATGTAGAAAATCCAGAGAGTTAACAAAATAACTCCTGGAACTAATGAGCAAGTATAGCAAGGTTGTAGAATACAAGGTTAATGTACAGAAGTCAATCATTTTCCTATATACTAGTGATGAAAAAGTGGATTTGAAATTAAAAGCACAATACCATTTACATTAGCACCCCCCAAAAGTGAAATACTTGGGTTAGAAATCTAACAAAATATATACATGATCTATATGATGAAAGCTATAGAACTCTGATGAGGGAAATCAAAGAACTAAGTAATGGAAAAGTAGTTCATGTGCAAACTCAATATTGTCAAGGTGTCACTTCCTCCCAAACATGATAAATAGATTCAAACCAATCCCAATCAAAATCTCTCCGAGTTATTTTGTGGATATTGACAAACTGATCCTAAAATTCATATGGAAAGGTAAAAGACATCATATAGCCTACGTGATACTGAGGGGGAAGAACAAAGTTGGAGGATTGACATTCCTGATTTCAAGATTTACTGTAAGTACTATACTCTAATCAAGACAGCATGGTATTGGTGAAAGAAGAGACAAATCGATCAATAGAAACCAATAGAGAGCCTAGAATTAGGCCCATATAAATATGATCTATAACAAAGGAGCAAAGCAATGCAATGGAGCAAAGACAGTCTTTTCAACAAATGGTCCTAGAACAACTGGACATCCACATGTGAAAAATGAACGTCTACGCAAACCTTATGTGCTTCATAAAATTAAAATTGTTTGTGGACCTATGAATATAAATGTAAAACACAAAACTATAAAACTGGAAGGTAAGACATAGGAGAAAACCTAGATGACTTTGGGTAAGTTCATAACTTTTTAGATACAAGACCAAAGACATGATACATGAAAGGACTAATTGGCAAACTGGACTTCATTAAGATTTAGAACTTAGGATTCATGAAAAACGATGCCAAGAGAGTGAGAAGATGAGCTACAGACTGGGAGAACATTTTTGAAAAAGGCATATCTGATAAAGGACAATTATACAAAATATACAAAGACCTCTTAAAACTCACCAGTAAGAAAACAAACAACCCAATTAAAAAATGGGCCAAAGACCTTAGCAGACAGACCACCAAAGAAGATAACTAGATGGCAGATCAGCATATCCAAAGAAGCTCACGTCATATATCACCGGGAAAACGCACACTAAAGGGACCGTGAGATACCGCGACACACCTATTTGGCGAAAACCCAGAACACTGGTGTCAAACGCTGGTGGGACGTGGTGGGAATGCAAAATGGTAGAGCCACGTTATAAGACATTTTGGCAGTTTCGTACAAAACTAATCAGACCCTCGCCATGTGATACAGTAATCATGCTCCTTGGTACGTACTCAAAGGAGCTGAAAACTTGTGTCTACAAAACCTGCGTGCTGATGTTTACAGCAGCTTTATTCACAGTTGCCAAAACTTGGAAGCGACCAAAATGTCCTTCAGTGAGTGAATGGATAAATGGACTGTGATCCATTTAGGCAGTCAGCTGTTATTCGGTGCTAAAAAGAAATAGCTCTCAGGCTGAGAAGACGCGAAGGAGCCTGATACGCGCATTACTACGGGAAAGAGGCCAATCTGAAAAGTCCGCGCACGTGGGACTTCCATCGTGGCTATGGAGACGGCATGACCATCAGTGGTTTCTAGGGGTGTTGTGCGTATTGGGGGGGCTGGGGAAAGCTGCATAATAAGAACACAGATAATTTTGGGGGCTCTGTTTGATATATACCGTATTTTATTTTCATTAATTTCTGCAAACTTACTCTCAAACATTCAGTCTGAGATTTTCAGGACAGAATGGAGAAGTACAACTCAGTTCTTTCCTCTCTCGTCCTTAAATGTTGAAAATAGGAGGTATTTAGTCATTAAAGACCAATGTAGACATTTATATATATTTACTCTATAGTACAATATTGAGATGCATGAAGACATTTATTTTCTGTATTGTTTTATCTTGCCAAATGGCAAGGAGCTCCTCAAGGAACTCTAAAAGATGCCTGCTGTGTGCTCTTGGTTCCAAGTTTCTGGCATAAACCATTGAAGGAAATTAAAGGAAAATATGCTCTATTTAATTTGATAGGAACATCTGCATTCTGCAGAAAGAAGATTTACATATTATATATTGGACTTCATGCTTTTGCAGACTCCTTTTCACTTTTCACTAATACCACAGGGCAGACATGGGCAACTTAAGAGCCATTTGGTTACTTTGCCTAGTCAGATGCGCTTGGCGTTCCTGGGGAGAGGGCGTATTCTAGTGGGACCGAATGGGTATGTGGCTGTGAACTGCGCTGTCGGAGTTGCTGGGCACGTGTCCCAGCCTGATGTGACTAACAGCAAAGCATCCGAAATCACACTTGCCCAAAAGCACACTTTGAATGCCATGGATTATTATTCATTAAATATATGATTTCCTAACAGCAACCCTATACCCAGCTTTGAAAAGCAAGCAAAGTTGGGAACTTGGAATTTTCAAATCAGAAATAAAATATATCTGTTCCCTAATGCAGACTTTCTTCCCCTTGTCAGAATTCTTAAACTACCATCTTTCTTTGTCTTGTTCTTGCATCAGTCTTTGTTGGGGAAGTTTCCAAATTGGAGAGAACAGTGAAAATATTGTCAGGAAAGAATTGTTTTCTCAAAGAATTTATGGTACATTCTTCATAAAGTATATTTATAAGTAACATATAAATGTCATAGTTTAATCATGAGTACGATCTTTCCTATGAGGAAGGGAGTATGCTAAATTAACCATAATTAAGCTTGATGTGACATATTTTATGCTCAGTTTAGAGGGGGGCAAACAGAGATTAAAGGGACAGACCTCAGACTGGGCACCATCTCCACCAGGAGGCAGATACTCTGTGCTGTGTGCCCAGGACAACTCTCACCCACACAAATCTAACCAGCTTCCCTAAAATTAATGCCCCTGCTTTCAGGGAGCATAAGAATGTCCTGGGAAATTTCTAAAGGGATTAAACAAAAAGGATGGAAGTATTTTAAGGAAGAAGCTTAGGAGTCTCTTGGGAAAACAAAGTTTTAAAAAGCCCAAACTGTAAAATAGCCGACAAAAATATGTATAAAATGTTAAGAGGAAACTCCATAAATTTTTTTACTTAATTACTGGCTCAATAGATGTGAGATTCATGCCCTTCCATCTCTTGCCTAGACCCCTTTGAAAATAGGGATGGAGGCAGGGGGAGCAGCAAGCACAAATGAGGGGTATTTTCTTCCAGATTCCAAAGAAAAAGGCTTGTCTGGAGCCAAATATTTGTAATCTTTGCTTTACTTCAAATAAGAAAGCAGTTTTTCCAAAAATCGCTTTGCTGATAGGCCCAGTCTTTGTTTCTTTTTAAAATACGTTATTAAAAATCTCTGTAAATGACAGTCTATGAGGAATGTTGAAGTATTTTGGAATATCTAAATGCTTCCAGCTGCTATCTTAATTTTAAAGTATTTCTTAAAGGGGATTTCCAGCTTGTTGGCAGCAACAGAATAGAATTTCTCTGTCTTTTTAAATCCTTGTTTCTGTTTCTATTATTGGATTTTATAATGCATCATATGATTTACTTTGGAGTGACAATAAAATGCATTCATGTAGAAATTTACATTACTTCTTAATTACCCATTAAAAGCGTATTTTCCCATTAGTTTAGAGTTGCTCAAGTCAGAGGAGAATGATACATTAAGACACAGTGCTCCCCTACTGAAGCTAGAAAATCAGAAGTAGAAGGAATGTATTTTGCCTGAAGATGACATATATAGAGATGAAACTGGGGTTAGAAATCAGATATCTTGCCCTGGGCCTATAGAAACGCCAAGGTTCAATTCTTGTGATGCCCACAAAAGAAAGGGTTCCCAGATTTCTGGAGATGGTGTGTAGAAAACAAAGGAAAGGGTGTGATTCAGGAAGTTTCCTCTAATCGAGGGCCTAAAACACTGGCTAGCATACCTATAGACTGAAGTCAGTATGGGGTCTCAAAGGTTAGAGCAGTGTCTATCGCATGTCTCCGCCATGCAAGTTCCAGTTCTCTTTCCTCCCAGCCCCACGTCCTTAGGAGAGAATCTGAACTGTCTGTAATCCTGAGATCTCCCTTCTGGCCTAAGCTGTGTGCATCAGTAGTAAATACCAGATACAAAGGATGGGTTAGGCAGTCTCTCTAATGAATTTTGAAATGAGACCTTTGAAGGAATGAATTAGTCGTTTGTGGAGGAGTGAGGTGGAAAATGATGTAGTCCCAAGGATGAAGGCTGCCGTTTGGGGTTGGCATGGGTGGTGAGCATGGCCATCAGTCCTCAGAAGTGGGAATAACAGGAGAAATAGAGATGAGAGACATTGCAGCCAGAGAGACAGAGAAGCAGAAAGATGCTCCTCTCAAGACGTTCCCGAGTTCTGGTTACGTTCAGAGGTCTGTGCTGCAGGCCGGGCCAAGGCTGCCGTCTTCAGTAGGCTGCTGCTGAAGCCCCAACTATATGTCCACATCTTAGTCCCTGGAACCGGCAAATGCTACCTTATTTGGGAAAAGGGCCTTGACAGGTGTCATGAGAATCTAGAGATGGAGAGATCACCTTGGGTTACTTGGGTGGGTCCTAAATGTCATCATAAGCACCGTAAGAGAGAGGCAGAGGGGATCAGACCCACAGAGAAGAGAATGAGGCAGAGGTGCCACGGGGCAGAGGTGGAGCGTGTGGCCGTGAACCAGGGAGCGCTGGCAGCTGCCAGAGTGGGAAGCGTCAGGGAACAAGCCCGTCCTCGAGGCTGTGGCCTGTGTGTCTCAGGGAAGCTGGCTTCAGACTCCTGGCCTCCGGAACTTCGAGATAATGGATTTCTGATGGTTAAGCCACCAGGTTTGCGGTAATCGTTATAGCAGCGTAGGAAACTCATACAGGTGTTTTGTCTGTCTGTTTGATTTTAAACATGAAGTAAAACATACTTTCTGCTCCCAAGTAGTTCAGAATCATTTAGGTGAGAACATCGAACACCCCATTAACCAAAAAGAAGTAAAAAATTCCTTATTTAAAAGGGTTGGTTAACAAAGTGCTGCAAACCGACAGGCGAATGAACAAATGACTTCTTCTAGTGAGTTCTAAGACGTGATAAAAATTGGCATTAGAACTGAACCATGAAGTCAAACACATTCAGTCTGAACTAAGAATATATAAAAAATTTTGGTGACAAAGCCCATAAGTACATGATTAATACATTATATCTCCCCCCCTCCTCAAATAAAAATAATGCATAAAAAACAGAGATTGAAATTAAGCTGAAATATCACAAGATGCCAGGCAGGCTGTGGGCAGTGATCGCTGTGTTCTTTGATACAGATACACATTTCTGTGAAGCTGCCCATTTATAAAAGGCAAAGCTACAGTTCTCAAAATGAATATAGAACAGAATTTAAGATTCTCTTAAAATTTGGCTGTAGCCTTTTTCTCCCTCCCCAAGGTGTGAAAATGCACACTTGACGTCGTTAAACCTGAAAATGACTTTTCCTGCTCCAGGTATCTTTTGGATTATCTCAGTTTTTCTTGTGGCTGATTTATTGCTGCTGCTTTACAGGAAAGGAGAAAGGCCTATACATTTGAAAGTAAAATCAAATGCAAAGGACCGCAGTACTGGAGGAGGAATGGAGTTAAAATACATAATAAATTCAAATGTGGTACTTTCTAATCTTAAAGGCTGAGGCACCCCTGCGTTGTTGGGGTGTTGGGACTGGAATTCCTTAGGTAAGCTCACGGCAGTCGTGGCCATGGAACACCCCCTGCTTGCTACCTTCCAGGGCTGCCGTCTGCTCATGTCTGTCAGTTATGTTGCTAGTATATTAAGCTGATCCTTTCCAGAAAGGAGTTAGTAAGTATTGTGCTTAGATTCAAAAGCGCCAACAAAACATTACACATGGAAATTCCCAACGATTCTGAGACCAGTTGGGGTTGCGTAAGATAAAAAGACATAAGGCAAAATTCCTCAGAAACTATTATCAAGGAAAAACACCACCACTCCAAAATAAAAATGAAAATAAAGCACGCTGGTTCTGACGGACGTTGTAATGCTTACCAAGAGTCAGTTCTCTTCTCTTCCTGGCATATGAAGGACGACCCTTCCCAGACCCCTCGCAATGAGGCGGGGCCGTTAACCAGATCTCATCTATGAAATGTGAGCAGAACAGCCACTGTGCAATTTTCTGTTTCTGCTCTCCCACCGAAAGGAGTTCTGAAACCACATTTTTTATAGTGAGCTTCCATTATGTGAAGTTAAATGAAGTATTCTTGTGTTGAACAGAGTTAACAAAAAATAAGCCTCTTATATTAAGACACTTAGATATCAGAATAATTTTTAACCAGCATAACCTGCAACTGACCCTGACTAATGTACCAGTCAAGCAAGTATATAAATAGACAAGCAAAACTTTGTTTAAAAAAAAACTGGAAAGAAATGGACTTCACTTTAAGTAGTGTGACTTTGCATATACTTTCTCAGTTTTTTTTTTAAATTTGAATATCTATCTATATATCACACACTTCTTTTATCAATAGACAAATCATACTTTAAAGAGTCATGATCTCCAAAGTCCTCACGAGCACAAAGTGAAGACAACCACCTTTTCCTCTGAGAGATCTTCAGCTTCTCCCTTCTGGTCATGTTCCTAAGAGTTTGCAAGCAGGTCGGACTCTGGCGGTGAGCTGCCTTTTATCTGCTGCCAAATTCGGATTTCTTATTGGTGGCTTCCTCCATGTGCTTCTTTAAATGGTTCCAGGCTTTTATAAAAACATAAATGATATGTCTCAGCATGTTGACACTCAGGTTGTTTCATTAGCTCTATAGTAATGGTTTATATAAAAAATAGAAGAAATGGTTGAAAACAGTTATTGAGGCTGGTCTTGGTCTTCCCCTTAATCATGGAAAATCCCTCTGAGTCCTCCACTCACTGAGGGACCTGGCATCATGGGAAGCTTTCCTACTTGCCTGGAAGTGGCAGTGTCACCTTGGGGATAAGAATAATTCACCAGTGTAGAGATTGTGTGTGTGTGTGTGTGTGTGTGTGTGTGTGTGTGTGTGTGTGTGAGAGAGAGAACCAATCCTGNGTGTGTGTGTGTGTGTGTGTGTGTGTGTGTGTGTGAGAGAGAGAGAACCAATCCTANTCACCAGTGTAGAGATTGTGTGTGTGTGTGTGTGTGTGTGTGTGTGTGTGTGTGTGTGTGTGAGAGAGAGAACCAATCCTGTTCACATGCTCACACCATAGTTGCCAATGCTATGTACTACTCCTCCATCTGCAACTTTTTATTTCTGCCTATTTTATGTTAATAGAGTAAGTCAGTTGCACTAAAGATAAAGTTTAAATTGTTAAATATGTAAAATGCAACAGACATTTAGGTTGCCACCATTAGTATACAAAAACTATAAATACCTCTTACAAATCGATAAAAAATGACAAACAACCCCATAGAAAAATAAACAAAGGACATGAACAAGCAATTCACACAAAAGGAAACTAGAATGCTCATATACATATAAAATGATGTTCAGTTTCATTAGGAATCAAGAGAATGCAACAGAGAAGTACCACTTTGTAGCCATAAATTTAAACATATTTATAACATCTAATGTTTAGCGTGTGGAAAAACCGAATTCTAATACATTGTTACTGGAAGTGAACATCAGCACAACCAACTTAAAGCACAATTTGAAATTATTTAGTGTTATGGGTTGAATTGTATCCACCCCCCAAAAGATATGTTGAAGTCTTTGCTCCCATACTCAGAATGGACCTCATTTGGAAGTAGGGTTATTGCAGATGTAATTAGTGAATTTAAGACGATGTCATGCTAGAGTCAGGTGGGTGGGCCCCTCATCCAACATGACTAATGTCCTTACAAGAATATGGCCACGTGAAGACACAGGAAAAAGGTCATGTGAAATGAAGAAAGAAGGTCATGTAAAAGTGGAGGCAGAGCTTGGACTCATGCTACCACAGGCAATGTCTGGAGCCTGGCCCTGCCAACACCTTTTTTAAACAGTATTCAGGGTGGCTACTTTTTTACAAATTTTTTTTTCTTGTTTAATTATCATTCCCCACCTTAACACATAAGTTCTGTTAGACAGGAATTATCCCTCTTATTAATGGTTGTTATCCCCAAACTCTAGTAAGATGTCTGGCAGATAATAGGTGAATGAATGGAGGAAGGAAAACTTAAATCATTATTTGCTTGTTCGGAAACTCCTACTTTCAGTGAAATCGTGTCCAGCTCATAATTCTCAAGCTCCCACCCAGACAGAAGCAGCCTTTGTCCATGGTGGCCGGCTCCCTAACTACAGTTAATTGGCTCGGATTGGTTCCTACCCTAACGGGCCCAGTAAGTTTGTGCCTTTATTTTTTATTTTTTTAAATATACCTTTATTGATTCCAGAGAGAGGAAAGGAGAGGGAGAGAGACAGAAACATCAATGATGAGAGAGTCATTGATCAAGCCCTCAACCCAGGCATGTGCCCTGACCGGGAATCGAACCCCATCGCCTGGATCCTAGGTGGATGCTCAACCGCTGAGCCACGCCCGGCCGGGCAGTTTGTGCCTTTAGAGTTTACACTTGGCTCAAGAGATAGCTGGTCTAATCTTAGTGACTTTATTTTTTGTTACATTGGGGGCAAAAAAAGAAAAAAAGCCTGCACTGGGGGGAAAAAAAAAGCTATTACAAGGTAAAAGCAGTGAAAGGAGCCTGGTGGGTGAGCATGAGGCCGGCAGCCAACGGCGTGCAGTTAGGCAAGGGAAGGCTACGAGGAGGAATGATATTTAAGCAGTGATTTGTATTGTCACTCCTTTACTTCCTATTTGGTGGGGGTCTGAGGACAATTGTGTTATTTGAGCTTTGTCCCAGCACAGAGTCTTTTTGTTCTCAGACATGGAATTAGTCCTGTACTTAGGATTACTCCTTGTTGATGAAAACAAGCACTACAGCTCCGGCACACTCCTTGTTCATAAGCAGGCGCGAACAACAGGGCGTTAACAGAATGAAAGTTTTAAGGCCCCAGCGTCCACTTCTCATAATCAAATGCGTAAACATTCCTTTTTGTTGTTGTTTTCAATACGCTGTAGAAAGCAAGATAGCTGCTTCAAGATAAGAAAACATTGATGGACTTTCCAGCTCAAATGCAGAGCGTAAATGTGTAAGAA